GTTCCAACGCATTCCGCTGTACTTAAATGTATCATTTATATGAATGGGGGGGGGTGCAGGTAAAGTCATATCTGAGATTCACATGCATCTGATCAGTCCCAGAATTTTAAAATTTTACTTTTTGTACTTGGCTCTAGTATCGACATTATGTGAGAGCCCACATATGAGAGTCAGATTTTTTTATTCAAGGCCAAATTGTCAGACCTACTCTGTGTATGCGGTTGCTGTGATTGCATATGCAGCTATGGTAATTGTTCATATAAATAAAAAGTTAGAAATGCCCTGTGATCATGTGTCTATAACAATTGTAAGGCTAGTATCTAGCTAGGAATTGCATGATCTAATTAGGTGCATGGTTGTGTATTTACAGTTTTGAAAATCTGGGACTATAAAACCTCTTTGTTTTCTGTTGTTTAAAGTCAGCTTCTTTCTTTATCCATTGTGCTTATCTGTGCAAAGACTTATCACCATATTTTCTCACATACCGCACAGCCCCAAATACGACACGCACCTTGTTTTTTGGAAGGCAGAATGTAAGAGGAGGAAAAAAAGGACTTTTCCAGGGGCATGGTCCAGAGCTGTCTGCATACCTTGCCCTGGTTGCCTCAGGCAAAAGCTATGGTTTTAACCCAGCCGTTTCAGCTAAACATTTCTGCCAATTGGGCAGCAGCTGTGGGAGGGTTAAACTGAGTCCACCCTTGCTGCTTGCTGGCCTGGGGAGAAGCAGCAGTCATCACCTGCTTCTGTTAGCATTCATTACACATGTCTCCATGTTTCTGTTCCTCCATGCTTCTATTCCAGTGAAGAAAGAACCTGCTTAAGAAATGCCTCTCTATTTTGGAGGGCTGATTTTTTTGGGGGGGGGAGAGCCGCATGCAGTATGTAGGTAAATATTAAAAATTGTCTCATCTGAGAGATGTTTCACTCTTCATCAGGACATTCCTGAGCATCTTTAACCTCAGTAGTCAACATCTGTTCCTACGTACTAATTTTTGTCTTATGAACAGAGCGCTGTCACTCTTGATGACCTTGTTGCCAATAGTTTATAGCTTTTCAATTCCTGCTTGAATAAGGTGTCATATTTTACCTTGCCCTGCTGTATTATACTGCCAATACCAATTGTACCCTTTCCTTAATCTCAAGTTCCTTTTCTGTTGTTGCATTGTTTTGTCTTACCTCTTGAGAGACTATGTGCAAAATGGAAAAAGAGCACGCTTTCTGGTTAATTGATTTTCTGGATAATCAACTCTCTACTGCATATAAAATGTATTTATGTGGATACCTGTAGCTACAGAAGAGGATTATTTGCAAATCCAGGGTTCAGAACAATTATTTCAGCTGGTGGGCCACTTAACGAATTTTGATGAGGTGTCGAGGGCCGGCCGCACACACGGTATGTTTCAGAAGACATCATTTTAATAAATTATAGCTAAAAAAAAAAATCATACTAAAAATCAGATATCTACTGTAACATATTTGAATTTTTTCAAAAACGAATTTTGGTCCTGATTTATGTTTTTTAGAATAGTATATATAGAGGCAATTGCAGAACAGCTCAAAATAAAGTCTTACTCTTGTACATGTGTGTTTGGAGGGTTGGGAAGGTGGGGTAGGTGTGCAGAGGGGCTGGGTGTGTGCATGTGCGTGGGGGGGCTGCCCGCACGCTAGGTCCCGGAGCCAGGCTGGGGTGGAAGGGACGGCAGGGAGTGCAAGCAGCAGAGCTCGCTTGGGGGGTGCGGTGCTGGTGCAGGTACATTTGACCTGTGGCTGCCCCCGCGGTGCTCTGCATGGGACCGAGCCCTACCTGCTTCTGCCCGGGGCAGTCTGTGTTGTGTTCCTACCTACCGATGGCCCTGCCCAGCCAGTGCTCATTGCACAGGGCAGGCAGAGTGGGTGGAAGGCAGCTGGAGCTGGAGCCCCACATGCTGGGGCAGGAGTAACTTGGCTGCTGCTTGCTTCATGCCGCCACTTCCCCGTACTACCTGCTGCCTGGAGCTTGCAGGAGGGGCAGGAGAAGGACGTGGAGGAAGAGCCGCTGGAGGTGAGAGCGCTGAGCAGTACCCAGGTGTCTGCAGCAGCAGAGAGCAGCCATGCTGGAAAGGTGTGCGTACTGCCTGGGCTGGGGCCAGGGCCATCAGCGGGTATGGGACGGGAGCGTGGCACGGGCTGCTCCAGGCAGAAGCAGGTGGGGCTCAGTCCCATGCAGAGTGCTTCAGGAACTTCCACAGGCCGGATACAATCAACTGATGGGTCGAATCTGGCCCACAGGCCATATTTTGCCCACCCCTCATGCAGAAGAATGGCTGCCAACTTCAGCATAAGACAGCAAATCTTCTCTACAAAGGCATAAGTTTTCTGCACAGACTGAGGGCTCGGATGAATCTAAAGAGTTAAAACAACCGCTTTTACTGAACGTTATTGCAAAAACTTATAAATCTGTTTTTCTGAATACTGCATATTAGTTTGTAGGGGAATAGATTAAGTTCAGAGAAATGTGGTCTTGGTATTTACAGTACAGTATGTGCTTTCATTTTGCTGACACCTACGGAAAGGAAAGTATTACACAGCGACAGATAATAATTTCAGTTAATTTTCTGCCCTTTTTTTAAGGCATAATGTAGTAGTTGTAAAATAATCTCTACATAGCATATTTGCTTGCTGTTAGTTGCCAGTGAGAACTCCTGGGCCTTTGTGGTGCTTCAATCTGAAATTCTTTGATGCCAGTGTTTTTCTCTCCTTGGTTATGTTGTCTTCGTTCAAGGGGAGATCTGCAAAACAAGCAAATGTACAGCATGCCTGCCCAAGTGCAGGGGGGCTAGACCCGATGATCCTTAAGGTCCCTTCCAGCCCCTAACGTCTATGAAACTATAAGATAACGTAAGAACGTTAACAAATGGAGCCAGCTTTAGAAAGATGGCGATGGCTTAATGAGCCCCATACACCAAATAGATTAAATACTCTGTATGTATAACAAGTAGTAAGAGCTGTAGATGAATTAATGAAATTCAAAGTGAATTTAAATTATTCAAAAGGAATAGAACGGAAAGTATTAAAGAAAAGCAGCAAATGTTAGCGTTTGCAGCTTGTTCTTGAATCTGGAATTTTACCCCTGTTAGGTCCCCATCCATCAAAGTACTCTAAGAACGTTTGACTTCAAGTAGGGGATCATACATGACGGCAGTGGGACAAACCAGCCTCTCTTAAATTTAAGCAGATGTTTAAGTGCTTTGTCGGATTAGGCCGTTAAAAGTAGGCTTGATTAACAGGCTGTGGAGAAGAGACCTTTTCATTTAGAAGTCCTGCAAGCAAGCTGCTAGGTAAAAGGAGTGGCAAACACTTAAGAGAGCTGTTTCATTTTAAATAAATGTCTTTTGCTTCTAGGACATAAGTGTATCCTCATAGTAAGCAGAGACAATTTGGGTTAGTTCCAGGTTGCTGGGCCTTTTGAGTGGCTATAGCAAAACACCCGGTCCCATTTTCTGGCAGTGGAATTAATCACAAATCGTGGATGTTTTGTAAGGTAGTGTCTCATTACTGCACCAAAACCCGGCTCAATCATTCTGAGGTGGGCTTTGAAATAACGAGGTTCTAAAATAAATTAACGTTGGGTTAATTTTATTTTCCTTCTGGTTGTTGAACTTTTATGGTTTAGTCTTTCAGGGCTTTTTCTTCAACCCTGAGGGCTAGAAATGTCTTTATCTTTTTGAGAAGTCTGAGGTTTAACATAAAATCAGATGACTCCAGCAACTGGAGCTTTAAGAAAAAAAAATCAGTCCTTGCAGGACTGCAGTAGAAACATGAAAGTTGGCAACCATGTGCTGGGAACTTGTAAAAATGTTCAAGTTATTTCTTTCCCATTATTTTTAACCATAATGTCATAGATATTGAAACCAATTATTCCAAGCATGCTGGAAACACAGCCCTATGTTTTCTGCTTGCTTCTCCTGTTTCACTTGTAACTAGGTCCGTGTTTACTGCAAAACTTTCAAGCCTTAGCGAACCTAGCCTGAGTTTGCAACACAACCCAAACCATGTGCGCTTCAGTGCACAGTCTTCATGCCACGCAACTCATGCAATCGTTTCTATGCTGAATGGGGAAGCTGCAGCAGAACCTGGATTTTTTTGTCTGTGATTGGGATGATTTACAATTATATGTGTAATTAACAGTGGGTTGCTGAATTAAGAACGAGTTGCTCAGGCAGTTGCTGCAGCTTTTCTCTTCAAAGGCGTTGCTTCTCCACTGACTTGAACCACTGCGGTGGTCCCCAGATTAGAAAATTGGGTCCTTTGAAATAAAAGCTGCAGCAAACATCTGGCTCACTTAAGCAGTTCTTCACCACTGTTTATGTGCACACAGTGCCTGGCTAGTTCACCAATCCTCATCTCTTTGGGGGGTAAGGGAACTTTACCCTATGAAGAATCTGGGTTTTACTGTAATATAATTTACTGAAACAACTGTATTAGAAAACTGACTTTATATCACGTTCATTATGCACCCTGTAATTTATTTTTGTGGGATTTTTAGGAATCGTCAGAGGGACCCTAGCGGGTTTTTCACAACAGAAATTAGCCCTGGCTTTCAGTTGTCATCAGATTTCTGTAATTGTGGCTAATAAGCATAGTTGGCAAGGGGGCAGCTGATCTAGCAGACTATCAACATTGCATCTTAAGCCTGATGGTACAGTGTGCAAGTCAGTAGGGAAACTGTGTATCCTTCGTCAGTTGGATGCACCATTGGTCATTTGCATGTGGGCATTTACTCTGTTTGCACATGCAGTTGTAGTGATTGCACACAGCTCTAGTTCTGCAAATCTCTCCCAGAGGTTGTCTCCTATTCCTCAAGGTAGCTTTGGGCATATGTCTACAGAAGTTTTTTCATGTAGATGTTTTCTTGCTCTGCAATGCATGGCAGTCTTTGTAGTTGCATGGTTGATGGGTGTATTTTACACAGAATGTGGATTTCTATTCTGGTCTACCCTTTTTCGTCTTTCTAATTGCAGGCCACCTTTTCTATAAATTTGGAATCTCAGAGTCTGACTGGTACCGGATCAAGCAGAGCATAGACTCCAAATGCCGGACTGCTTGGCGGCGGAAACAGCGTGGCCAGAGTCTTGCAGTGAAAAGTTTTTCACGACGGACACCTTCCTCGTCATCATATAGTGGCTCAGGTAAAAGAAAAATCAGAATGATGGCATGGAAAGGTCTACCCAAAACATTTCATGTGTCTTTTGAGAGGTGAGGATTTCTTGGCTGATACATTTTTGGGGGGGGACCAACTGTGTAGTTGGGGGACAAGTTAGACAGGCTTTCCTTCAGCAGAAGGGTACTTGGTGCCCGAAATACATCTCCTAACTATTCAGTTAGGCCACTAAAAGAGATCACCAACAAAATCCATGCTTCATATTTTCTGGACTGTCCTGGCTGCAGTAACACGCCTACCACGTTTGTCTTTTAAAACCCTTAGGAATAGAGTTAGTCTCAGTCAGGTGGCAGTCACAACAGGTTCGTGCAAAGATGTCATAAGTGTATAACTAGTATACACGGAGAAATGGTGACATTTTAGGTGATTGAATTTGGGCTGCAACTTTTCTTGCAAGTGAGGTTTACCATTGACAAATAGATGCAGCATGCATGTGTGCATGTGAGGCAAGGAGGGATACGTCTACAGGGCAGCTACAGATGTGATGTGCGGACAGACCTGTGCTGTGCTTAGCTTAGGTATCAGCCAGGGCTGCACAGGTATCATTGCAGGCGACCCCCCCCAAATATGAATCCAGAGTCCCTGATGGGCTTGTTAAGCCCTTGTTGAAGCCACAGCAGCATGAGCTATGCTGCTTCTCCTGTACTAAAAATAGCTCAAGTTGGCTAGCTTTAAGTCTGTACTTATTTTCTGATATTGCCCCTTTGACTGCAGTGTAGACAGACCTCGAGAGAGGGAGAGCATGTAGGTGTCTCTGGCAGTGGATAGGGGTGGGGAAAAGGAAGAAATATCCAGTAAATATGTTCTTGTTCTAAAATGACAATTACAACGTTTCAGTGGGTAAGATATGTACATAATGGTTTTAGTTGGTAAGTATATATGTTTCAACTTTTCCTCAAATAAATTCAGTTTGGGCCGTCTTTTCCATCCCAACCAAATATTTTGGCTGTACTATTCACAGCCCACTTATTAATAAAAGTTACGTGCAACTTCATGGTATTGGGTGTATTATACCAGGCAGTCATGAAGTTGTTAAGCTGTTCAACAGAGAAGTTTAATATTTATCTGCAATTAACATTTATAATAAGAATCCAGTAAAAGCAAATCTCTCTTCAGTTATGTATTCATACCATTTGTTAGGGCATGCTTGATTTTGTTCGCAAAATATTTTCCCCTAAAGAAATACATGAATCATTAAAAATGAAGTAGGTGATTCTACATTTCCATATAGGTATAGGCATGAATAATAATAAAGTGAAAAGTATTGACCTAAGAAATGCTCTCATGGGGCATTTCTGGCTCCTGGTTTATATTAAAAGTAGTGTTGTGGGACATTTGTACATCATATATTAAAAGCAGGGGGTTGGAAGTAAGCCCAAAGAGGAGGAAGTAAGTTTATTTGCCTGCATAAAGTTTTTGGTTGCATGTTAACACTAACCACTGTATCTTATGCAAGGAATGCCAAAATCTGCTTTCAATGGAAAATTTTATGTACTGAAACTGAGAATCAAATCCAAAATTCTCAAATTAAAGCAATTAATTGGCATAATGATAACCATAAGCCATATTTATTGATGGAAGTTTATTTTGACTCTTAGGAATATATTTTCCTTAAAAAATGCATTTGTGGATTTTAGAGTTACATAATTATTAGCACATACATATTAACTAGTGTTGCACTTCCTTATGGAAATTAATAGTTTTCCTGCTGTTTGAAAAAGGGAGCAGCATTGAAATATGCAGCCTGTAGATGGAGGCTGAGGGTATTCTTGTTTTCTGAAGGCCTCCGTGTCAACTCAAAAGGCTGTAGTATCCTCTTAAAACAAAAAACCACCCGTCTCTCATGCCATTGCATCTTTTAGAAGACGTCTTTTGTTCCTGAATGTCACAAAGGTCTACTGAGACATCTTGCTGTTAAGTTTGCAAGGGGGATATGAGCCTCCCGGTCAAGATGCAGACCACCAACGATGACGGTGGTGGCCACCTTTGATAGGTGTGGAGGAGAGCATTCCTGAGGTTTCAGAGCTCGTGCCTAATGTTTTCTTTAAGATACTGTTTATATTCATAACATGGTCAGCACCGTTTCCTGGGAGTGTTTGAAGGGATCGTGTGAATCCACAAGTATGTTCGCACACAGGAACGACGAAGACGCTGTTAGCGTAAAGCAGCAGACCCCGTTAGCTTTCTCTTGTCAGGAGAATGATTGTAGCATGCCAGGAACAGCTGGGAGCAGGAGTGTTTCACCTGCAGCTTCTCCAGTAGCCATCCGAGGAGAGAGGAAGGGGCAGGAGGAGAGCAGGAAGGAAGGCACTGTGAGAGTATGGGGAAGGGAGAGGAAAACCTTATAAAAATAAATAAATAAATTGGATTCGTGCAGTATTTAAAAAAGGGCAGCTTTTGGATGACAAGCCTGTAATTCCATCTCCATGTTCAGGTAACAACACAAACTACTCAGGCTTTGCTTTTGTGGTTTGACATCCCTGGAACCCCTCAATGGAATTATAGCACCATAATTCATAGGCATCTGTTACTTATTATATATACCGTATCATGGATATAGCAAAATTCCCACTGCCAGCTAGTAGGGAAAATAAGTAATATTTCACAAACTCTGAAGTAACGGAGGTCTGTATTTCACTGTTATGACAACATAGTTGTCAAATATGGCTTTTTAAAGTGTTACATATGAACCCAGACAGTTTTTATGGTAGCATTTATTTCAGGGGGCAATTTAAGGTGAGCCTTGAACAGTCTGGACTTCAGCTGCTTGAGAAACTGTCTCCTCCTCTATCGTTTGCCACAGTGGGTAGGATTAGCACGTGTGTTCTGGGAGCCCGTTTTTCAGACTCGGCTTTCTAGGATGCAGGGCAAGTTTTTCTCAAACAATACCCTTCTCTCACTTTTCCAGTTCTCTTACTTTGGTCTGCCGGAGTTGCTGTATTGCAATGCACCTGCTTAGACTAGCACGTGGTTCAGAATTTCGTTCTGTGCTGGCCAATGAATATTATTCTTGCATAGCAGTAATGGCCAGTTGGACTGTCCAGTGTGGCTGTGTCTATTTGGTTTAATTAACTGTCAGTTATGTTGCCAGGGTAAGTGTTGGATGATTTATATAAATACATACAACACAAGTACTTTAATCAAATATAATCCATCTGTTGAGTGGAGTGTGGTAATCTGTTCCATGTAAAGTACACAATAGATAAAAACGGAATGATGCAAAATAGACATCTCAGGATTACTTTGACACAAAAAAATACCCCAGCATTTCTCTCTTGCTACTGCGATGTCATCCAAGCACTTACGCGTGTACTGGATTATACTGCTGTTTTCTGGGTAGCTTCCCATATGCTTTTTCTAATAATTAATTATTAGAAGCTACATTCTTTGTACAGTAAACCCAAATATTAAAAATGTATTTCCAGTCCACTGAAGCAATGGAGAGAGCCTAAATGTGAAAGGACTGGAGAAATGAACAGACTCGTTATAAACAGACTAAAGAACGGGAATGGAAGTGGGAGGGCAAAGGTTACAATAATAAGCTGTAACAGTTAATCAGTCAGGTATGGTCATGATTACTTAGTTCCTTTAAATGGGTTTATGTTTTTCTCCCACCTTGTAGGCTTCATGGTAGACTAGAGTGCCAAGGAGGGAATCAGTGAAGTGAAAAAAGTGGCTGGTGGAAAATGTTTGAGGAGGATATCACATGCATAGAGAGCAGCACCAAAAAAAGGCATGTGGGATAGTAAAATAAGATTTAAAACACTCCTGCTACTACATTATTTAGTGGCACAGGTACAGCACTGCAGAAGTCGTAGTCCAACAAGTGTGAACTTTCAGGAGATAGCTATATTACTCGTGTCTATGTTTTTCCATTAGCATGCGAGATGCTTTTATCTTTCAGCTAACAAATCAGTTCCTATGATATGTGCAGAAGACAGGAAGATTATAGCGAAGTAGGATGGCCTTGTTCACTTTCTCTGACCAATTTTGGTATAGGAGAAAAAAAAAAAATTAAAAAAAATCTGGCCATTGATCACATTCAGCTCCAAAATAGAGCTGGGAGGGGAGGGAAAAATCTTGGTAGAAATCCAGTCCATAGTGCAGGATTGCAATTAAATCAAATGCACAATAAATGCAACCAATAAATACAAAGAAATGCTCCATCCCCATCTCTCTTGGTGTAGACTAGAAGGTCGTGGTCTGGTCTGAGTCAAGGTTAACTGTTCATGCAGTTGAAGATATTTTTGATGTTTTAAATAGCTTAGCATTGTAACTAGCAGGCTTCTTCTCTTGAATACCTTCTAGGGAGCCTTTTAGCTGGTGCATTTCTGGGAAGGCGAGAATCTCCGTGCACATCCCCAGTGACTTTCTTAGCGCGATAACAAGGCACGTATCTACTGTTGTTTTGAAGGGGGAGGGAGGTATTGTCACCGTAGCAAATGTTTAAATTAGTTTTAGAAGTCTGTATCCTTTCCAACTACATTTCTTTTAAAATTGCTGCCGATCTTTTTGAAGACCATCCTCATTTCTTGTTCATCAGACTAATTGAACGTAAGGTATGAGTTGGGTAAAATACGTAGCTGTGGTTTTACAGGAGTCTTTGTTCTTAGCCCCCAGTGTGAGGTTATGCCCAGCTGTATTGCCTTCAGAAAAGCTCTGGGACAGGACTCTGACTTCTTCGTCACTCCCCACGTCCTTCCAGGTGAGCAGCGGCTTTGCCCACTGCACGCAAAATCCGCATCTTTTATTGGAGAAACAGTGAATTAAGTACACGGTGGCAATACTGTAGTGCGTGTTCAAATTCCTTCCAGAACTGTGTTTAATCATGCTGGTGTCAGTGGGGAAATAAACCTTTGTGTAAGCATGTTAGCATGTACAGGACATCAGGATGGGGAGCCGTGTAAGAAAACACTTGCCAAATAAAGACAGACAAATTTAATAGGGAAACACATTTTTGTTTCTAAG